ATCAAAATCAAAATAAATCTAAGAAATACACTTACCATACTTAATACATTTAATTTAAGAAATACACTTACCATACGTATTTTTAAAAATTTTTAAAATACAATATAAAATATTTAATTAATAATTTTCAATTAAAGTTTCTTTTTAAGAATCAATCATATTTCTAATAATTATTAGAAATAATTTATATATATATATATATATTAGTATTTACGTGAAAGTAACATATATGTTACTTATCTGTAAACATTTATGTTGACATATATGTTAATCCTATATAGTAAGGATTAACATAAATCAAATTTAGAAACTATTTCCTGCCACTTTCATTAATTATCTCCTAAAAATAGTAAATCAGATTTTTTCCTTTTTGTTTTTAATTAATAACATCAAATACTTTTATATTGGTAAACAATAAGGAATCAAAATCCGAATAAATATTCTATTTTTCCAAACAATTTGGAAATTCGAATGTAAATCCAAATAAATCATGATTTAAGAAATCGTAATTTCTAAACAATTTGAAAATTCGAATAAATCTCAAAGGAAAATCATGATTTGTATATATCATCTTTTTACCAATTAGACTTTTTTCTTCATTATCGATATGAAAAGAAAAACGAATTTTATATACCTTATCGATTTTGATAATACAATGTTATAATCATTATTATTATTTATTTTAAAAGATAGTGTTTGTCATTTATTTGATTTCAAAAGATGGAAAAATTTTCATAGTTTAGGTCTCTTTTTATTTATGCATTTACAAATTAATTTAAAAACTCTAATAACGATTGGCAACAAAATTTGTTATATATTGATTCAAACCAACTAATTAATAAAAGAGTCCATCAATCACGAAATTAAAAAATAACATACAATTACTACATTTCAAAGATTAAGTTATTTAGATAAATATTCATTTATATTGTCATGACGATAAACAAGAGTGAGTGTCAATCTTAGAAATTTGATGTTTTCAACTGCTATATTTCCAATGGTTTTTTTTAACGTAGGAATTTCCGTTTGAATATGCAAATTCCGTTGGAATTTTTATTTCTACCCCGTTGAAAAATTCTTCCGTTGGAATCGTCAAAATCCAACGGAAATTTGAATGGAAAATTCATTCCAACTGAATATTTGGATTAGCAACAGATTGGTGACAAATGGAGTTCCGTCAAGGTCAACATTTATTGTACGTTGGCATGTTAAGTAATAGATCAAGAAGAGTCAAGGTCAACATTTATTGTACGTTGACATGTTGTTAAAGAAATTGATTTTTAGTCACGGTCAATTATGTTGTTTGTTTCTCGTGTAAATAATAGAAAAGTGTTGAAAATATTAGTTTTTGGGGACGACGAGTTGCTCAGTTATTAAACAAATAATATTGTGTACAAGAAAGTTTAAATAATATATTTTTTTTTGCATGAGAAACATTTTATGGTTCGATAATTTTACTACAAATTATCACTCTTTTATTTATTAATACATTTTAATTTTTAATATTCTCCAAAGTAAATACAGTCCGTGTATCGCACGGGTTACATACTAGTTTTAGTAAATATGATGGCTTTTAATATAAGTATAGATAATTTATTTTGTAAATTGTATATCAGTTTTCAATATACATGACACAATTTATTATGTAATGTGCTTCTTTTTCTTATTAATGAAAAATAATAATGAAAAAAAATTGAATAGACCATAAAAATATAAAAGAGAAAATATAATTTAAAATCATATTAATATATAAATTATGTATCACGTGCATCGCACGTGCACTTTACTCGTATAAATAAGTTGATATATATAATATCACTTGTTTAATTTGAGAAACATAATTTTTTGGTATAATTAGAACCCACTCTAGTAAGTGAGTGTTTCTCGACCTTAGTTTGTCATTAAAAGGACCGAAAAGAATAGGCATGTCAATAAAACATGCACGGTTGGGTTATCCTCATTTTCGGGTCAGGTAAATCCATGGTGATCAGGTTTCGGGTCAGGATCGAGTAATTTTATGCTAACCGAACCACGGGTTGGGTTGAGTGCGGGTATAGTAAAAAAACGTATTATCCGACTCGATTATCCTACCCATTTACTCGCAAGCATTGAATCTTATATATATAGCTTATTATAAATATAAAAGTAGTCATGTGTTATTTTATTTTATTTATTTTTTTTTACGAAACAATAGTTCTATTATATATCAAAACGCATAAACGTGCAAAATACAGCCCATAGCTGAGAGATACAACCAATGGCTGAATAAAGTGAAAGGGCAGCTACGAGACCGCCTAGATCCGCAGCTAGCCAAGCTAGAAACCAAAACAAGACTCAAACCCAAACAAAACTACAACACAAACAAAGAAACACAATGCTCTCAATAGGAGAATATGGAACGCTCCCCATGGGAGAATACCCAAACACAACCGGGCTAACACAACAGGGGCTAACAGCCCAAACCAAAAACACTAAACGAGAAACAACACAGACCAAGTGGCCCAAACCAAAAGCACAAGCTGAGACAATACAAGCACTAGACAACAAACCTAAACAAATATAAAAGGCCCTTCCCCGACAATCGATCAGACTCAGCCAACAGTGAACAATCGACACAAGACGGATACCAAGCCCGATGGAAGACTACCGAAACTGCCTAATGCCTATACAATAGTCAACTGCGCCTCACACCAATCCCCGAGTTGACCCATCACCCACCGTAGGAAAACAAACAGCCTCCATACCAACCCCGACTCGAACCCGTCTAACACCACTAGACAAGCTCTATTGGACCGGGACCCCCTTTGCCTAACACCACTAGCCGAAAAGAGAAGGATAAGGATGGATCGGTTCCTCAACCCCGACCACTGCAATAGCCACGGCCTCTCCCGACGACAGACCGCGCACCCCGAAAGCCACTACAAGCCTGAAAAAAAAACCCAACCCCAACAATGCTTATCCAGAACAAACGAAAACAACCAAAGAGGTGGCCAATCGTTGACAAAAAAGAGAGAGAGAGGGCATACCACCTGCCAATTAAGATCCGCCAGTCGACCGGGAAGAAAGGTTCCCAAACTCCGGCCAGAATCAGACCAAAGGGCACCACCTCGAAGCTCTGCGCCGCCGCCGATAGAGCTCCAGACCGCAGCGAAAATAGGGAGCAACGAGTCCAGGACAAGAAGAGTGGTTGGGGACGACCACAGGCCGAGCCCCACCACTTCCAAGGAAGGCAGAACGATGGCAATTGGAGGTTAGGGTTTGGAATATCTGTTTTCTCCGAGAGGAACGAATGAGAGGAACGAGAAATTTACTCTAGTCATGTGTTATTAATATAAAAAATTAGATTATTTATTGTAATTTTGGTTAATGGTTAATTTTATTTTTCTATGATTTTTTTATTAATTTTATAAATTGTACTATAAAAAATCAGAATTTTTAAATGTTATATTACTAACTAGACTATAAAAGATAAACAAATGTATCTCTTTGTTTATTTCAAAAATAATATAATTTTTTTTATAATTTTTTATTGTCAAACTTAGTTAATAAATTATTTATTATATTAATTGTAAAATTATTTTATTTTGTTTTTCACATGAAACAGGTTGGGTCAGGTTGGGATCGGGTAAAGTCCAAATTTTGAACTCCGGTTACCCGACGAAAACCCACTAAACCATCAGGTAAAACCCGAACCAAACCCGAATATCAGTAATCGGGTAACAAGTCAGGTTTGAGTAGCCTATATTATTTGCGAGTCTGGTTCTGGTTTGCCAAAACTGGCACCCATTTACACAGTTATTCTATAAAACCAGATGGTTGGTTTCCTTATGGAACCAACCACCAATGGGACAGCTCCACATGGGACTGTCCCACATGAAAGTAGGAAAGTACCGCTACCAATTCAACACTGACGTAATAAGTTGTTAACGTGATCAGTTATGCTTTAGAAAAATTCTGATAACATGAAAAAAATCGAACATCAAACGGTACAAAAGTCCGTGTAGTAACTAAAGTAACTAGCACCGGCCAATTACAGACTAAAATTAATGACACATTCAAACCAAGCCCAATATAACTAGATGTCCTGGTGTATGTGGCGGAGCAGCACCGGGTTTGTGAGCTCCGGGGAGCTGAGATGTGGCATTTGGCAAGTGACCCTCTGTTGGAATCAACTCCAAGACCGACCTCCCGCCCAGGCTCCGGTGGATGTACTCACCCACCTCGACCGACACAATCGCATCCTTGGAGCTCTGGATGATGTGGCAGGGGACAATGATTTGGCAGAGATATGGCCTAAGGTCATAAGAGAATATAAAGCGGCCCCTATTTAAGGTGATGTCCGGCCGCTCCATATTGAGGGTTCTTTTGTACTCCTCCACGGCCACCGAGTCCGGGCTGCCGCCCACCACCTGCGGGGTCGTGTCAGCGTAAAAAGATGTGGGATTCTTCTCCAAGGCGGCCAACATATGTGTTGATATCATTTTCGGTAACCCAAAATTAAGTGATGTTGATCCGCTAATTGGGGTCAGTATGAGGATAATTAAGATTCATGCAAGCACATGGCGCTTTCATCGACTTCAAGACGGCTGCACGATGAAAAATTCAACAAGAACCGACATCTCCATTATTTGACCGATGTCACATGTCGGTCAACACATGTCGGTCAACACATGTCGGTCAACACACGTTGGTCAAACATATGTCAGTCACAGCATATCGGTTATAACTGGATGAACCGATATCTATAACATGCCACCTCAGCATGGTAAGGCGGCGACAACTCAGCATAAATCATCATTACGTTTGTCCAAGTGGCGAGTTATCAAGAAAAGCAGCTAAGAGCCGCCTTTGACCTTTCAAAATGTAATGATTACTGTACAAATAAATATTGTACTAAAATATAAAAGGAGAAAAATAAATCTCCAGAGGACAGACAACAACAATAAGACTTTATTGTAAACATTCCATCTCCTTTTACGAAATACCAGCTCTTATCGTTGAATATTTGATTGTACTCTAAATTTACTACAATCAGACCGTTGTTAATTCCCGTTTGACAACAGTTTGGCGCTAGAGGAAGGGCCTTGCTTGTGTTTTGACGTTAATCTTCGCCTGTAAGCCATTTTTGCACTCGGAAATTACTATGTCACAGTCTGGTCGAGATCATGTACCTCACCCTGGTCAGAGCCAATCGACTAACCACTCTCCACGGCGTACAACTCCGCCTCCTCCGGTCACGAATGTCACGAACTTTCTTCAAAATCCGGAGTTTATTCAAGGTTTGTCTTCATTGATAGCTCGAGCCATGCCTAGAAACTCGAGTACGATCCCGTTGTCGATGTCGTTGACTACTAACCCAACAGAACATCCAACTCATACTCGTCATGACCATGAAACACATGTGGCAACGTCACATGCCACGTTGCAGCCTCATCATACTTCTCCGCGTCAAGAAGAACAGGCTCATGTAATTGCTAATCCAGTAACGAACAATCAAGTCCCAGATCAACCCCCTGTGCAGGAGATGACTGCTGAAAGTCATTCTGCTCATCACCAGAGAGTTTCCCCACGTCCTAGACCCATCTCGTCAGCACCTCACGCTCGTGAGGATTTACGACGCCAAATTGAACGCAATCGTCTTTCAAGGCATAGTGCAGAAGAAATTGAAACTCTCCGTAAACGTTTGGCTGAACTTGAAACGCGACAGAAGTCACAAGAAGATTCACCCCGTCATGTCACGACGTCGGGAAATGTTGTTGTCGAGGCGAATTCCCCTTTAGCCCCCGAACTTACTGCGGAGCCACTCCCTGTGAAGGTAAAAATCCCGCAAATCGGCATGTATGATGGGACGTTGGATCCAGATGCTCACTTAGGCCATTATACGTCTTGGATGGATTTACATGGAGCTTCAGATGCTTTGAGGTGTCGGATGTTTTCGCTTACACTGAGGCCACGAGCCCAAAAATG